CCGGACGCGACGCGAGGCCGGAGCAGACGCGAGGAGGCGGCCGTCGACGGGAGCGACGTCGACGGCCTCGAAGGCGCCGGCGCAGGCGTCGAGCGCGCGGCGCACGTCGGCGGCGGCGACGGCGCCGGCGCAGCGCCCGCGCAGCAGCAGAAGAAGGGCGCCGGGCAGGAGCACCGCGGACGCGGCGCGAGGCCGGAGCAGACGCGAGGAGGCGGCCGTCGACGGGAGCGACGTCGACGGCCTCGAAGGCGCCGGCGCAGGCGGACCGCGCGGCGCACGTCGTCGGCGGCGACGGCGCCGGCGCAGCGCCGGCGCAGCAGCAGAAGAAGGGCGCCGGGCAGAGCAGGTGGAGCAGGAGAGCCGTCGTCGGCGTCGACGGCGCGAGGCCGTCGACGGGAGCGGGGACGTCGACGGCCTCGAAGGCGCCGGCGCAGGCGGAGCGCGCGGCGCGCGTCGTCGGCGGCGACGGCGCCGGCGCAGCGCCGGCGCAGCAGCAGAAGAAGGGCGCCGGGCAGGAGCACCGCGGACGCGGCGCGAGGCCGGAGCAGACGCGAGGAGGCGGCCGTCGACGGGAGCGACGTCGACGGCCTCGAAGGCGCCGGCGCAGGCGGACCGCGCGGCGCACGTCGTCGGCGGCGACGGCGCCGGCGCAGCGCCGGCGCAGCAGCAGAAGAAGGGCGCCGGGCAGAGCAGGTGGAGCAGGAGAGCCGTCGTCGGCGTCGACGGCGCGAGGCCGTCGACGGGAGCGGGGACGTCGACGGCCTCGAAGGCGCCGGCGCAGGCGGAGCGCGCGGCGCGCGTCGTCGGCGGCGACGGCGCCGGCGCAGCGCCGGCGCAGCAGCAGAAGAAGGGCGCCGGGCAGGAGCACCGGACGCGACGCGAGGCCGGAGCAGACGCGAGGAGGCGGCCGTCGACGGGAGCGACGTCGACGGCCTCGAAGGCGCCGGCGCAGGCGTCGAGCGCGCGGCGCACGTCGGCGGCGGCGGGCGCCGAGCGCCGGCGCAGCAGCAGAAGAAGGGCGCCGGGCAGGAGCACCGCGGACGCGGCGCGAGGCCGGAGCAGACGCGAGGAGGCGGCCGTCGACGGGAGCGACGTCGACGGCCTCGAAGGCGCCGGCGGCGCAGGCGTCGAGCGTCGCGCGCACGTCGGCGGCGTCGGGCGCCGAGCGCCGGCGCAGCAGCAGAAGAAGGGCGCCGGGCAGGAGCACCGCGGACGCGGCGCGAGGCCGGAGCAGACGCGAGGAGGCGGCCGTCGACGGGAGCGACGTCGACGGCCTCGAAGGCGCCGGCGTCAGCCAGCGCCGAGCGCGCCTAATCTTCGCCGCGGACGCGCGGAATCGTCTCAAAACAAACATGACAATTGCCGCAGGTGTCCGGGTTGGTGTCGTTCATCTCGAACTCGATTCGCGCCGCCTCCTCGGGCGTGAACGCGACATTCCGTCGGACGAGGCCACACATGCCATTGCCTCCGGAAGAGTCCTGGTACTTGAACTTCTCCGTCTCCTTCCTGTGAGCGCACTCAAACCCCTCGACATTGTCCGCAGTACATAGCAACGAGCAGTAGCGGCAGCGGGAGCCGATCTTCATCTCGTTGACGTACTCCATGCGTTCGACGCGGTTCGCTTTCATCGTTTTGTATCTCTCCTCGGTCAGATGTTCCCCAGCTTCTTCTTTACGTTTTGATTCTGCTCGGAGGTTGAGGATGTTTTTCATCGTGTTGCAAACTTTGCAGCGCCCGACGCAGTTCTCGACGACGTCGTCGACGCCCGCGCCCACCGTCGCGTGCTTCGCCGAAGGATTGACCTTGCGGCGCTTCTTCTTGCCGTCTCTCGTCACGAATTCGCGCGTCTGCTTGGACGCCTCGTCCTCGTGGTCCGGCGAAAGCGCCCGCATGCCCACCGCGTCGAAAAACCACGTCTTGCCCGTGACGTCGTTTTTACACCAAGGCCCGACGCAGTGAGTGTTCAGGAACAGCTCGTTCGTCGTCGCCTTGTAGACGGCTTTTCCGACGTCGCGCGCCTTCGTTGTCTTCTCCACCTGCCGCTGCGAGCACAGGGTGCAGCTCTTCCGGCGCAGCGCGTCGACCGCCGCGCGTTCCGCCTCGCCGTCGCGGCCGAGCGCGATCGCCTCCTGGTACTTCATCGCCGCGACGCGCATCATCTCGACCCGTGCTTCCCCCACTCTCCAGCAAAAATCATAATACGGCAGCGACGAGCCATCATTTTCACATGAATCAGCCTCGCACTCGAAAAAGAGGGTAGTGATGTCGTCATCATAATCGGCGAGCACCGCCTCCCTCTCCGCGGACAGCCGCATGAGCTCGGCCGCCTTCCGCTGCTCCCACTCGTCCTCCGTCATGTCCCGCCGCGTCTCCTTCCCAGACCTCTTCTTCTTCGTCTCCTTGCCCTTCTCCTTCGCCTTCTCCTTCTCCTCCTCGGCTTTGGCGCGCAGTGTCGACCTCAACCGCAGCGACCACCACTGGCTCTTGAGGGCCGGTATCAGCCGCCCCCCGTAGCCCCCCGACTTCATGAAGCCGCACTCGGCCTGGATCTTCCGCCAGGACCCGACGCCGTGCTCCGCGACGCCCTCGACGAGCCGCCGCGTCTCGTCGTCGGTCCAGGGCGCCAGCCGCCGCACCTCCCGCTGATCGAGCCGTTGCCATTTCGAGTATAGGTCATCACCCGTCCGCCCCTCGTCGTCCCCCGACGCGAGGAAGCCGAAATTTTTGCGGATCGCGCCCCAGGACCCGACGCCGTGGGCCGCGACGCCCTCGACGAGCCGCCGCGTCTCGTCGTCGGTCCAGCGCCGATATTCCCGCGCGACCTTGGGCAGCTTGGCCTTCTCCAATTTTTGCCATTTTGCTTTCATAAGCGCAGTCGTCCGCCCCTCGTAGTCCCCCGACGCGAGGAAGCCGAAATCTTTGCGGATCACGCCCCAGGACCCGACGCCGTGGGCCTCGACGCCGTCCTTCAACCGCTGCGTCTCGTCGTCGGTCCAGCGCCGCGTCGCCTGCCGCTGCTTCTTCGCCGCGGGCGGCTCGGCGTCGTCGTCCTGGGCCGCGGGGTCGTGCTTCCAGTCGTCCTCGTCCGGGTAGAAGGACACGGGCTCGTCCCACCAGCCGGCGTGGCGGTCGCGGCCGTGGACGTAGCGCTCGCCGGTCGCGGCCCACGTCGAGACGATGCACCGGTAGTAGCCGCCGCGCACGGACCCGTCGCGAAAGTTGTCCCAGCGCACGAGGAGCGCGTCGCCGTCCTCGGGCGGCCGGCGCGCCGAGCAGGCCTGGCCCTTCGTCCCGCCGAGCGTCGCGGCCTTGGGCGGCGCGACGCCGCCCGCGTCGTCGTCGCGGCCGGAGCCGGCGCAGCGGCCGTCGCCGCGGCCGGAGCCGTCGCAGAGGGCGTCGCTGCAGCCGGCGTCGCCGCAGCCGCTGTCGAACGGGCGGCCGAAGGCGCCGGGACGGCTGAGGTCGCGCGAGCCGCCGTCGTCAATTCCACCGGGCGCGCCGGCGCGCTCCGGGCCCTGGGGCGGCGGCGGGGAATCGCCGTTCGTCACGTCGCGGCAGGCGCGGCGGCCCCCGGCCCGCCGCAGCCCGGCGCCGGGCCGCCGGGCCCCGGCGACGACCGACGACGGCGGGCCGCCGAGCTTCGCGCCGTCATTCTTCTCGCGGAGGCCTGAAAGCCGCCCCCGCACCTTCTCCGCTTGGGAGGCCGACTCCCGCCCCCACCGCGACTTCTCGTCCTCCTCGAGGCGCTCCTGCGCGAGGCGCTTCTGCTCGACGCGGTCCTCGCGATCGCGCTTCGCGCTGCGCCGCGACTGCCGCTCGACGGGCGGCAGCTTCGGCGCGTCCTCGCGGTCTGCGGACCGCTGGGCTCGCGAGGGCCGCGCGGCTGCGGGCCCGCGGGCCGCGCGGCGCGTTTCCGGCGCCGCGGGCGCCGGGGGCACGGCCGCCGCCGCCCGGGGCGCCGCGCCCGCCGCCGCCGTCTGCTTCTGCTTCTTCGTCCGCTCGTCAGATTCGCGCCGGCGTTTCGTCGCCTCCTCGACGTCGTCCGCCTTGCGCTTCGCCGCCTCCCGCGCCTCCAGTTCTCCTAGTCGTTGTTTCAGTGCATGCCGCTGTTCGTCGAGCGCCGCCAATTGCATGCGCGCAGCTTCGACGGAATCGGCCGCCATCATATAACAGCTTTTTACTTCGCTGCTTGGCTGGATATTGCAGCTTGGTTGGAAGTTTTCGCGCGTGCCGCAGCGGCGGGGACGCGAGGCCGTGGGCGCGCAGCGCCTCGTAGCATCGCGAGCCGGTCTTCCTCCGACCGGAGAGCCGCGGCGGCGCCGGAGCCGTCGGGCGCGGCGGCGACGGCGCACGCCCTGTCGAGGCACGCGGCCGCGAGGGTCGACGGTCACGACGGTCGACGTCGGTCGTCCGAGTCCGAGTCGCGTCTTCTGACGCGCCGCCGCAGCGCCGCGGATCACGCAGCTCCAGCGCCCTCCGCGGTCGCTGCGACTGCATCGCCCGCGCGCGCCCCTACCTGTACACCGGCGCGGGGAGGCGTGCGGGGCCTCTAGATCTCCGGCGACGCCTCCGGTGGCGCTCGATCGCGAGGCCGCTGGCCGGGGTGAGGCTCGCCGTGGTGCCAGCAGCTTTTGGGCGAGGTGCTGCGAGCTGTCGTCGGGCGCGTCGTCGAGCGCCTTACCGGTCCCGGTGTGCGTCCCGGCGCGGTCCTCGGCACCATGGCGCAGCGCCCGTCGAGCATCGACGAGTTCGCGACGAAGGTCAAGGAGCTCTACGCCAGCGACCCCGCGAAGGTGCGATTCGTGCTCAAATACAAGCACCACGAGGGCACCATGACCCTGCGCGCAACGAACGACGAGCTGGTGCGTGCGTCCCCGCCCCGCCCCCGCGCGCGCCGCGCCGCGCGCGCGAAGGCGAGCGCCGCCGAGCGACCCGCGCGGACGTTCTCGACGGCGAAACCCCCGCGCGCAGTGGCTCATCTACAAGACGGACCAGGCCGCCGAGTTCCGACGACTCGAGGCGCTCCAGCTCTGGCTCATGGCCGCCATGTGCGGCAGCGACGTCGAGGCGCTCACCGCCGAGTCCGAGGCGCAGGCGGCCGCCGAGGCCGAGGCGGCGGCGCAGCGACGAGACGGCGGGAAAAAACGCAAAGGCAAGAAGAGGTAGGCTTTTTTGGCCGCGGCGGCGGGCCGCCCTCTCGCGATGGACCGCGCCTTTCGTAACGGGACTCGGTTCGACGTGCGATCGGGTCGCGCGGCGGGGCGCCCCTTCGGCGACGCGGCGCGTAGGGGGAACGTTTGCCGGTCCGAGCGACGGCGTCGCTGCACACGTGATCTAAGAAGGGGAGAAGCGGCGCGGTAGCGGCGTCGTCGCGCCCCGGGCGGGACCGCGTCCCGCGTCCCGGGGCGGTCATTGCGGCCGCGCGCGCGCGCGCGCTACAGGACCTGGCGGAGGATCTTCTCGAACTCGTCGGGGTCGACGGCGCCGCTGAAGCCGATGGGCTGCTTGTCCTCGGCGCCGTGGACGATGAAGAAGGGCACGCCCTGGACGCCGCGCGCGCTCGCCTGCGCGCACTCGCGGTTGACGCCGTCGCGCGCCGCCCGCGTGTCCGCGACCGCGCGGAAGCCGGCCGTGTCGAGGCCCGCGTCGCCGGCGATGCGGCAGAGCGTCTCGAGGTCCGAGATGTTCTCGCCCCGCTCGTAGACGGCCTCGAAGAGGCGCTCCTTGAGCTCGTGCTCCTTCTCGTGCGGCGCGAACATCATCAGCTGGTGCGCGCGCATCGTGTGCGGCCACGTCTGCCAGTTCGCGAAGGGCGCGCCGACGGCGCGGCCCTTGGCCCGCAGCGAGCGCGTCCAGCCGTCGCCGCCCCAGCGCCGCCGGTTGTACGCCTTGTAGTCCTCGCCGCTCGGCTGCGTGTTCGGGTCGATCATGAACGGGTGCCAGCAGACCTCGCTCGACGCCGTCGCGGGGAGCCGCTGCAGGGCCAGGTCGAGATTCTTCTTCCCGACCCAGCACCAGGGTCACGCCTACGACGGAGGTCGGTGTCTAAAGCGTCGCGGTTTCGGTTGTCTCCTCCGGTTTCGCACCATGTCGCTGTAGACCTCCACGGTCAATTTCGTGCCCTTTGCGACGGCCGCGCTCATGTTCGCAGCGCGAAGTCTTCGCAGAGCCACGCCAAGTGCTCGTTGCCGCGCGAAGTCTTCGCAGAGCCACGCGCCAGCCTCTCACGAGCTCCCAGTACTTCGCAGAGCGGCCTCAGCCTCTCGGTGTTGAGGGCAACAACACTGCAAGGTGAAGCTAGCTTAGATCGGACTACCCTTCCCGCTTTCGTTTCCTCGGCGCCTCTCGCGGAGCGCCCCCACGAGCAAGCGCGCGTCGCCCGCGGCGACGCAGACGACGAGGGCGGCCGCGGCCGCCGCGAGCGCGAGGGCGTAGATCCGGAGCGCGAGGCCGCCGCCTTTCGAATATCCGAGCGCGCACAGCGCCGAGAGGCAAAAGGGGAAGGTGAGCGCGGCCCACTTCGGCTCGAAGTGGTCGAAGATCGCGCGCCTTCGCCGCCACGCCGCGAGGACGGCGACCGCGAGCCCGACCGTCGACGCCGCGAAAAGCGCGTGCCCCAGCGCCGCGTCGGCGCGTCCCCCGAAGACGGCGCCGCCCGCGCGCCGCATGGCGCCGAAGGCGAGGCCGGGCATGGAGAACGGCGCCTGGAGGATGAACGCCGTCGCGTCGTTCGCGACCGCGTCGTCCCGCGCGACGCGGAGCGTCGCCGCGGGCGCGAGGAGCACCGCGCCCGCGCAGGCCAGGATCCAGGACGAGAGGATCAACCAATGCTTCGGCCCGAGCGCGAAAGCCCCGGCGATGCACGTCGCGCCGCTGCCCACGCAGGGCGGCGCCCAGTACGGCTCGGGCGCGGCGCCCGCCGCGGCGCACGCGGCGAGGAAGGCGCCGAGGAGGCCGAGCTGGAGCACCGCGCAGGCGTAGAGCGCCGGCGCGGCGCCGGCCGTCGCGCGCCCCAGCGCGAGGACGAGCGCCATCTCGTAGACCGCGTAGGCGAACGCGACGCGCGGCGCCGCGAGCTCGTCCCGGAGCGCGCGGCCGCCGCGCAGCGCCGCCCGGGCCGCGATCGCGAGGAGCAGCGCGCACGCGCCGGCGAGGGCGCAGACGACGACGGGTGCGACGCCGACGGTCTCCTCGACGATGGCCGCGAGGCCGCAGAGGCCCAACGCGAGGCCCGCGGCGGGCGGCAGAGGCATGGCCCGCAGCAGCGACGCCGCCAGCGCCTCGTCGTTGGCCTCGACGATCGCTGCGGCACTCATCGGCGTCGTGCTCTCATCGTCGGCCTCGACGATCGCTGCGGCACTCATCGGCGTCGTGGTTTCGGATGTTCCAGGTTGCTGCACATCGTGCTGGCCAAAACAAGCGCAAAATGCACCACCAGCTACGGCTGCGAATGAGCCGTCGTTGAACAAGCACATCTTCGAAGCAATGCTGCAGTAATCCGTAGCTAAGAGACGGTCTCTCGTGCGAGCATTTCAGCGGCCGATGGTGGAATCTCCACCTTAGAGGGCCCCGCGCTCCTCGAATATGCAGCGACGTGCAACGATCCCAGTGGCTTTGAGGTCCGCAAACATGTGGGTGAGGCACATGAAAAGACGCGACATCCGGACGATTGCGAGGCGACGCAAACGGGCAGCCCCAGGGGGTGGAATGAGGCGCGGCAGCTTCCCCCGACCCGATTTTCGGTCCCCTTCGAGTCACAGAGCGTCGGGAATCGTTCGTCATGGGGGCGACCAGATGCCCTCGCGGCAGCTCTTCGGCTCGAGTGGATTTGATCGAGATCACCTCACCGCCTCCGGGAGGCGTGCGGCGCCGCGGGTGACACGGTGCTCACCGCGCAATGCATGAGGCGTTTGGTGTGACCACACCCGGACAGTCCCCTCGGGAGAGACATCCCAGGGGGTGTTTCTTCGAAGTTGGTCACACCAAACGCCCCCTGGAACTAAGTTGGGCCCCTCGTCGGTCGCCCCCCACCGTTAACGGCCGTTCTCGTCATCCACGGGCTGCCCCGACGCGAACTAAGTTGCTCGCCTTCGACCGATGGTCTTTCCCGAGCGACTCGCAGCCGGGCCCAAGGCGCGACATGGTCCACAGACCGAGCGCCGCGCCAAGTCCTGGAACCGCTGCATCGCGCGTCCGAGCCCGGAGCCAGGCAAAGCCGTGACGTCAAAACTGCACGGCTTCGCTGCTCTTTGAACCGGTTAACTTTAGCTTAGCCGGCAGTGGCTCGTTTCCGGAAAGGTGCGTTCAACTACCTTACAAGAGACATCTAATTCAACATACCCTAAAAGCCAAATTTCCCTTCCCCATCCTCCACCCGCGGGCCGAAGAGGCTCCGGACGCTGTTCACGACGGAGCGCCCGCCCTTCTTCGGCGCCTCCCGGGGCGCGTCCTCGCACCGCTCCGCGTCGAGCGCGAGCGCGGGGCTGCTCGGCAGGGGCCGGCCGATGGTCAGCAGGACGGCCTTGGCGTCGTCGCCGTCGCCGAAGGAGAGCAGGCACTGGCGCGGCGGGCTCGACGCCTTGCGCTCCGCGCGGACGAGGAACGAGATGCTCCGCGAATCGAACGGATCGCGCCCGAAGCCATAGAACGTCGGCGTCGCCTCCGAAAACAGGGCGTCGCGGACGGCGACGAGGTGCGTCGCCCAGGTCGTCTTGTTGAACGAGACGTACCCCTGGATCCGGCGGGGGCTCGAGAAGACGAAGGATTCGTCGAGGAGGTCCGACCGGTCGACGCCGTGCCAGAGGGACACGAGCAGCTCGCGCGACCGCGCGACGAGGAGCGGGTCGGGCTCCTCGCGATCGTCGATGAAGATGGCGTGATTGCTCAGGGAATCGCGCCGCGCCTGCTTCAGGACCTCCATGTCGGGCTGCCCCAGGGGCTCCGCCCCGTCGCCGGGCGCGACGCCGGGCCGCGCGAACGGCGCGAGGCTGAGCGCGTCCGCGACGGCGAGCACGCAGCAGACGAGCCGCGCGAGGATCATGGTCCCGCGGCACCGTGCGCTCCTGGATGTCCACTCCTCCAGGCTTCGCTCTGCCACTTTCGCCGGCTGCGCGCGTCAGTTTGTTTGAAACGCGAGTTGTTTCATCCCGGACTTCATCGTCGACCTCTGGGCAGCCCAAAAGGCCATGGCCCTCTCCATGCTTCGGCCCTCAAAAGGCCCAAGGGACAGGGCCCTTGCCGGCGCTCCACGTCGCCCCGCGCCGTCGCCCGCGCGCCGCCGCCCGCCATCCCCGATCCACGACTCCACAGCCCCGCCCCGCGCTTCCGGGACCCCCCGCCCCGCCACCGCGCGACTGCGCGTCGTCGCCGCCGCCGCGCCGCCCCGCCGGCCCCGCGCGCCGCCGCCCGCCGGCCCATGGCGCTGCCCGCGTCGCGCCCCGCGCCCCTCGGCCCGCCGCGCAGTCCCCGGTCGCGCCCGGCGCGCGCCCCCAAGGCGGCGGCGAGCTGGGGCTCGGCCGCGTCGCGCGCGCTCGCGCGAGCGTCGGCGTCGGCGTCGGCGCGCGTCCACCGCGCGTCGGACCCCACGGCGGCGGCGTCGCTCGTGCGCTTCGACCGCGGCGTGCCGCCGCTCCGGCGCCACACGCACGCCGTGCTGCCGCTGGCGCCGCCCCGGGACCGCGTCGCGGGCGCGCTCGCCGCGGCGCCGCGCCGCTTCGGCGCGCGCGGCCGCGAGAGCGTCTCGCCGGGCGACGACGCCCAGCTGCGGCTCCTCCAGGAGATGCACGACGAGCTGACGCGGTCGGCCTCCGGCGCCGCGAGAGCCGGGCCCCGCCCCGCGCGAAGCCCCCCTCCCGAAACGCAGGCAGGGCTTCGGGCTGCGGCTCCTGCTCGAGACGACCCAGCGCCTCGAGGGCCGCGTCGGCGCCGTCGAGGCGAGCTCCTGCGGCGGGTCCGTGTCGAGCGGCGTCCTGTCGCTGTCGTCCGCGCGGCCGCCGAGCGAGCCCGCGGCGTCTTCGGCGACGGACGCGCGCGGGGACACGTCCGACGACGACGACGACGGGCCGCCGGAGGAGCCCGTGGCCAAGCCGCCGCCGCTCCGGCGGGGCGCGCCGGCCCTCGCGCTCGGTGCGCCGCGCGGGGCCGGGGTTTCGCCCGCCGAGGGCTCGCCCGAGCCGCGGCGCTGGGCGAGCTCCCGGGGCCGCCTCGAGCGCGTCGGCCGCCGGCGGGGCACGGTCTTCGGCGGCGGCGCGGGCCGGAGCCGGCGGCCGACGGTCTTCGGCGGCGCGGCGGCGCGCTTCTGGGAGCGGCGCCGCGCGACGGCCGTGCGGCCCTGCGAGCTCGACGAGGCCGTCGCCGCGCACGAGGCGTCCGGCGGCGCCGGCGCGCCCCGGCGGCGCCTCGCGTCCGTGCTCGCGTCGCCGGCCCTCGACTCCATGCTCGTGGCCCAGGAGCAGGGTGGCCGCGGCACGCTCCGCGCGCGCTGGGGCCTCGACGGCGACTTCACGCTCGGCCGGTCGTCGTACGCGCGCGCGGCGTGGGACGCCGTGCTCGCCGCCGCGGTCTGCTACGAGGCCGTCGCGACGCCCCTGGAGCTGAGCTTCCTCGAAAGCGGCGCCGGCGCGCTCGCGCTCGGCCGCCGCGCGGCGACGGCCGTCTTCGCGGGCGACATCCTCGTGAACCTGCGGACGGGGTTCTACGCGGGCGAGCGCGAGGTCCGCGACGGCCGCGCGATCGCGCGGCGCTACCTGCGGTCCCGCTGGTTCCTGCTGGATTTCGTCACGGTCTTCCCCTTCAATTTGGTCCTCGCGCGCGTCGGCGCGGGCCACCGGAACCTGCTCCTGCTGCGGTTGTTGAGGGTGGCGCGCGGCGGCAAGCTCTTCCACGTCGCCGAGGAGCACGTCCACGCGACCGCCTTCCTACGGATGGTGCAGATCGGCGTGTTTCTGTGTCTGAACCTGCACTGGAGCGCCTGCGCCTTCCGGGGCCTCATGTCGACGGCCTTCGCGCGGAGCCGGGGCCTCGAGGCGCCGGACCTGAACGCGTGCGCGGCGCTCGGCGGCGGCTGCGGCGAGCCCTGCGCCGCGCCGCTCCGCCGCGCGGACCCGCTGGCCTGCGCCCAGTGCTGCGACGCCCCGGGCGTCGCCTGGGCGCTCGTGGCGCCGGGGCCGCTCTACCTGCGCTGCGCGTACGTCGCGTTCTCCTTCTTGATGGGCTTCGGCGCCGAGGACCCGCTGAGCGACGCCGAGACGGCCTTCGCGACGGCGCTCGCCGTCTACGGCTGCGGCCTCCAGGCTTCTGTGGTTGGGGCCATCGCCGTCGCGCTGCAGGGTCTGGAAACGGAGGAGACGCACCAGCGCGCGAAGCTCTCCGAGGTGTCGCGGCGCATGGCGCAGATGCACCTGCCCCGCGACCTCCGGCGGCGCGTCTGCGAGTACTACCGCCACGTCTGGCACCTGGACCGGGGGAGCCTGCTGGGCGACGGCCGCGGGGCCCCGGCCGGCGGCGCGGGCGCGGCGCCCAAGGGCGGCGGCTTCCTCGGGGACCTGTCGCCCGCGCTCCGCAACGAGGTCAAGATGCACCTCTTCGCGGAGATGCTCCGGGCAAACCCGCTCTTCCAGTCGCCCCGGGTCCAGGCCTGCGCGGGCCTCGTCGAGGCCGTCGTCGAGCGGCTCTTCACGACCGTCTACCTGCCCGGGGACACGATCCTCCGCAAGGGCGAGACGTCGCCGTGGATGGGCTTCATCGGCACGGGCGGCCGCGTCGCCGTCGTGCTGCCTCCGGCCGACGAGACCCAGCAGCCCAAGACGCTCAAGATCCTCCACGAGGGCGACATCATCGGCGAGCTCGGGCTCATCTTCTCGGCCCGCCGGTCGACGGACGTCCGCGCGCTCGTCTGCGTCCGCGTCCACGTGCTCTCGCGCGACGCGTTCAACGCCATCAAGGCCCAGTACCCGGCCGAGGGCGACCTCCTGGAGACGGAGATCGCCAACAGCCTCGTCAAGCGCGGCCGCATGAGCGAGGCCGACGTGCTCAAGCTCACGAAGAAGCGGACGAAGCGCCGCTCGCGCCGGAAGCGCGACGACGGCGACCGCCGCTGGTCCGCGTGACGCCGCTTCTCCCCGTCCCGACGGCGACCGCCCCGACCCCCAGCGCCGTCGACGTTCCCCCGACGACAAGATCCCTCGCACCCCGGTGTACCCCCGTTTTCAAGTGCAAGTGTTACTTTACTTCTTCTTCAACTAAGTTACTTTACTTCTTCTTGCTGCTCGCTGAATTCAGGAAGCGGCTGAGCTGTGCGGGCAGAGAGAGCGCTCTCTGAAGGCGCCGTCGTGCTGCGCGCGCTGCTCCGCTCTTCCTCCGGCCCTCGTCGCGCGGCGCGCCGACTCGTCATGGCGGCGCTGCTCGGCGACAAGGTCTCGCCGGAGCTCGAGGCGGAGATCGCCGAGGAGGAGAAGGCCATCGAGCACCTCGTGCGTTCCAACGCGGAGCTCGAGGCGCACCTCAAGGACGCGCCGGACCGCGAGCTCCGCGCGGCCGTCGGCGAGAACATCGTCGTCATCGCGCGGAAGCGCGCGGCGCTCCAGCTCAAGTACGACCTCCGCGCGAAGCTCGAGGCGTCGGCGCCCATCGCGCGGAGCGAGGCGCGGCCGCCGCCGCCGCCCGCCGCGGCATCGACGGAGGCGCGCGCGCCGCCGGACGGCGGCGTCTACTTGTAAAACAACCTGTGGCCTCTTTCCATCCCTGAACGCCGCGCCTTACTTGCCCGCGCCGGCGCCGTCGTCGGCGGCCTTGAGGATGGCGGCCTTGCGGTCCTTCTCGGCCTTGGCGTTGGCCTTGGAGTACTGGTTGTAGAAGTAGGCGCAGGCGCAGATGAGGACGAGGTTGCCGTTGACGAGGAGGAACGTGCCCGCGGCGACCTTGAGCGCCGTCGCGAGGATGGGCTGGACGTCCGCGAAGGTCGTCTTCTTCCCCTCGGCGAGCTGGGCCCGGAAGATGTGGGGCGCGAAGAGCGCCGTGCAGAGGCGGTCCCAGACGAAGGTGCCCGCGAGCGACGCGAGCACGAGGCCGACGATGGTCCAGCGGAAGTCGTCGTCCGGGAACGGCGCCAGATGGATGAGCGAGTTGCCGTAGGGGAAGACGTTCCACGCGCAGACGACGACGCCCGCGACGCTCAGGAACAGGGACAGGAACAGCGCGTGGTTCTCCAGGAGCCCCTTCATCCAGGGCCGGCCCTTGTAGTTCACCAGGAGCACCGCGACCATCTGCGACGTCTCGACTAAAAACACGGCCGTGTTCAGTAGGTTCGGCAGGAACGGCGTCGACCACATGGACGTGAACCAGGCCGTCAGGTCGTCCTCGTCGACGTCGCCCGCGAGCTCGCCGGCCCGCGCCTTCTTCTGGAAGAGCACGACGGCCTTCAGGGCCGCGTCGCCCATGCGCTCCGTCGAGAGCTTGACGGCCATGCGCATGCAGAGCACGTGGATGAGGCCCTGGCCCGCGACGGAGACGACGATGGACGGGTGGAAGAGGCTGCCCAGCGGCCGCTGGGGCGCCATCTCCTGGATCGGCGACGTGTAGGAGAAGGCGAGCGACGCCACCACCAGGAGCCAGCCGCTCGCCATCATCTGCCGCTCCGACGACCGCGCGCCCTCCAGCGACAGCGCGGCCAGCGTGTAGGCCGAGATGACGGACTCGAGGACCATGATCTGCTGCTGCTGGAGGCTCGAGAGCAGCGTGCAGCGGCCCTGGCGGATGAGGTCGACGACCGCGCGGATCGACGGCGCGCGGCTAGTGAACGGCGCGGCGACGGACGCGTCGCCCGGCCGGATCATGGGCACCTTCCCCTCGGCGTCGTCGCCGCCGCCCTCGCCGCCCAGCAGCGCCTGCGCCGCCTCGAGGGGCGACTGCGCCTTCTTCTCGTCGCCGTCGTCGTCCCGCGCGTCGAACGCGTTGCCGTGCTTCGCGTTCAGGACTTCCACCTCCCGCGCCATCTCGCGCCGCAGGCGCAGCGCCACGGCCTTGACGGCGCCGAACTGGGCGCCCATGCCCGTCTCGCCCCGCGCCGCGCGCGCCTGGAGCTCCTCGTCGATCCACTCCTTCTGCTTGGCCATGAGGATTTTTTGCTTCTCCGCGAGCTTCTTCTTGCGGATCTCGACGGAATTCTGCCGCGCGTCCTGGAGCGCCTCGGCCTGGGCGTTGAGGATGGACTCCGCCGACGCCGAGCCGCCGGCCTTGGCGAGCTTCTCGCCCGCGGCCGCGTAGCCGCCCTCGCCCGTCGTGTTCGCGTCGCCGTAGCCCGCGAGCAGCGCGAGGCCGACGTCCGCCTGCTTGAGCGCGCCGACGTCGTTGCCGCCGTCGCCGCACATGAGCACGCAGGGCCCGTCGTGGTGCTTCTGGAGGGACCGGCAGATCCGCGCCTTGCCCTGGGGGCTCATGCGCGAGAAGACGACCGCGCTCAGCGAGACGGCCGTCCAGACCTCGGCCTCCGCGGCGTCGCGCGCGGCGGCCTTGGCCGCGAGCGCGTCGGCCTCCTCTAAGCCGTCGCCGACGGCGGCGGCGGCGGCGGCGCCGCGCTTCAACGCCGACGCCTCGACGGCCGCCTCCGTGACGACGAGCGTCGTCCCCGCCGGTTGGGAGCCCGCCGGGTCGAAGGGCTCCGGCGACCGCCGCGGCGGCGCGTGCGGCGACACCCAGGACGCGCCGGAAAGCGCCGCGTCGTCCGGCGTCAGGAGCAGCGCCTCGTCGCCGGCGGCGGCGATGGTCGTCTCGCGCGCGACGTGCAGCGCCGTCAGGGGCGCGTCGCCCGTGACCATGGCGACCGCGTGCGCGGACGACGTCAGCGCCTCGATGACGACCCGCGAGTCCGCGCGCGTCTTGCACTCGAAGGCGACGAAGCCCGCGAAGTCCAGGTCGCGCTCGAGCTCCGCGCGCGACATGTCGCCGTGGCGCTCGTCCGCGCGGAGCGGGCGCGACGCGAGCGCGAGCACGCGCATGCCCTGCTCCGCGAGGGACGCGTAGGTCGCGTCGAACCAGGCGGGCTTGGCGCCGGGGGCGAGCAGCGCGGCGACGGCCTCGGGCGAGCCCTTGACCAGCGTCGACGTCGTCACGGCGCCGTTGTCGTCGGCGACGTCGGCGACGACGGACATGCGCTGGAGCGCGGACGAGAAGTGGAAGCGGCTCCGGATCGTGACCTTGCGCGGCGGCGCGCCCTCGGGGAGCCGCTTGTGGCGGCGCGTCGCCGGCGCCGGGGCCTTGGCGTCCTTCTTCGCGGCCTTGACGAGCCCCGTCGGCGGCGCGGCGACGCCGGACCGCGCGTCGTAGGTCCAGCCCAGCGCCTGGAGCGCCGTGAGCTCGATGGGGTCGCCGACGAGCTTCGCCTTCGTGCCCTTGGCGCCGTCCTCGGCGGCGACGAGGGAGTGGCACGCGGCGAGGACGGCCGCGGCCGCGTTCGTACTCGCCCGCAGCGGCTCCGGCGACCGCGGCGCCGCGTCGCTTCCGCCGGCGTCGAGGCAGACGACGCCCATGGGCACGAGGCGGTCCGTCGTCAGCGTGCCCGTCTTGTCGAAGAGGCAGTACTTGACGCGGCCCGCGAAGGGCACGCGGTACGGCTCGATGGCCATGACGCCCGCCTTCATCAAAGCCATCAGCGCCGTGTTCACGGCGAGCGCCATCTGCATGGGCAGCTGGCGCGGCACGACGGACGTCACGATGATGACGCAGCGCAGCAGCAGCTCGTGCGTCGTCCGGTCGCCCTTCTCCAGCCCCCGCTTGAAGACGTACGCCGCGGACGCGATCGCGAAGATTAGGAGGACGCCGAGCGCCATGAGCGTCTCCCGCGTGTCCGAGGACACGTTCTGCTGGGAGAACTCGATCATCTGCATGAGCTCGCCCTGGGCCGACGCGAAGCCCGTGCGCAGCACGAACGCGACGGCGCCGCCGTCCGGCGGGTTCGGCGCGTCCTTGGGCGCGGCGCCGGCCGTCGCGTTGACGAGCTCCGTGCCCGAGAACAGGACGGACACGCGGTCCGCGCCGTTCATGTCGAGGCACCGGTCCGAGCCGTCGGGCACGACCGCGTCCTTCATCTGGGGCGTCGACTCGCCCGTGAGCGTCGCCTCGTTCGTGACCGCGGACCCGCGGACCAAAACGCAGTCGCAGGGCACGACGTGGACCATGCGCGCGAGCCTTTTCTTGATGGCCTCGCGCTTCCGCTCGACGGCCTCGCGCTCCTTGTCGCTCTTGCCCTCGAGCTCCTCGTCCGTCGGGCCGCCGACCGGGGGCGTGCGCCGCGCGACGGAGATCAAGTCGCCGGGCAGGAGGTCGTCGGAGCCGACCTCGACCCAGGTCTTCGACCGCCAGCAGAGCACGGGCGCGGCCTTGGCCGACATGCCCGACAGCGACTTCAACGTCTTCATGCGCTGCATGACCGTGCCCGCCTCCATGAACGTGATGGAGAAGAGCGTGAAGCCCACGTACTGCCAGTACGCGTCGAGGAGCCAGAGCAGCGACGTGAAGACCTGGAACATGGCGATGGGCGACAGCAGCTGCTCCTTGTAGAGCGCGAGGAACGACGGCACCTTGACCTCGACGACGTTGCGGCCGTAGCGCTCCTCCGCGGCGGCGACGCCCCGCGCGTCCAAACCCGACGACCCGGCGTAGTGGTCCACGGGCAGCGCGAGCGGCGGCGAGATGCGCCGCAAACTCCCGTTCGCCCGCCCCAGACCGACGATCTCGTCGCGCTCGTCGACGACGATGAGCTCCTCCTCCTCGTCCTCCTCGCCCTCGCTCACCTCCTCGTAGACGACCTCCTCGTCGTCGTCGCCGTCGTCGGGGCCCCAGTACTCGTAGAGCTGGCGCTGGTACTCGACGACCAGACCCGCGCCGATCTTCGCCGACCGCACGGGCGCGAGCGCGGGCCGGCCCTTGTGCTTCTGGGGGGGGGGGCAGGATCAGCGCGTGGCACCGGTTCGACACCTGGTCCGCGGCGGCGTAGAGGGCCTTGGCCTTGAAGGGCACGACCCAGTGGCACATGAGGAGGAATAAAGCGTGGAGCGTGCACGTCGCGAAGAGCAGCAAACACGCCCCCGCGGACGGCAGGTACTTGGACGGCAGGGACCGCGCCTCCTCCTCCTCGGCCTCGGGCTCCCAGTCCTCGCCGAAGACCTCGATGGCGAGCTCCTCCTCCGTCTTGTTCTCGCCGCGGTTCGCCGACTCGATCGTGTGCCGCGCGAGCTTCGCCGCGCGCTCGAGCACGGCCTCGGCCTTGGCGCGCTCGCTGGCGGCCTTGGACTTCTTCTTCTCCTCGTTCTCCTCGCCTTCGACGCCGACGTCGTCCTCCTGCTGGTCCGCGATCGAGCCCGCGAGCTTCTGCAGCTTCAGGCGCTGGTTCCGCGCGGCGTGCGCGGCGGCCTTGGCGCTGAGCTTCTCGCTCGACAGGGCGTCGAGCGCCTTCGCCTCGTCCAGGGCGCGCGCGTAGGGCACGCCGGACGTCGCGCTGCAGGCGTAGAAGCTCGCGGCGTAGGCGACGACGCAGAGGGCGAAGAGGCCGTACTTGCGCGCCGGCGACTCGCGGTAGATCTTCACACTTTCGATGGACTTCGGGTGCTGGAGATGCATGGTGTGCTAGCTAGAGCCGCGCCGGTCGGCAGACGGTGCTAGCGGCGGCTGGCCCACCTCGAATTTTCTCAGCGAGCAGGTCCACCACGCAGTCGCTTTGGCCGCGGGATGGCTGAGTCGATGTTGTTGATGAGGAGAATGAGGTTGATGCGCACTTCACGATGGTTTATAGCGCGACGCGATGAACGCGAAGTAGCGGCACAACTGAGCCTCCAGACACCGCGCGCATACGCCGCGCGCATACGCATAGAACAATCCTCGAAGTAGCGGCACAACTGAACCTCCAGACGTGTCGCGCATACGCATAGAACGTTCCTGGACTTCTCTTGCAACCATGCGCATGCCGCGCCTCGTCTCCAAGAAGTTGCAAGCCAGCGACGCGCGCCACTTCGTCGGCGACACCATGTTCGACCGCTGCGCGCGCGCGACGTGCGCCGCCGGCGTCAACATGCCGAAAAAGGAGCTGCTGGAGAACTGGACCCTCGCGAGCATGATCCACGACCGGTACTGGGCACGGGCCGGCGGCGACGCCGCGCCGCCGACGAGGGCCGGCGGCGGCGCCGCGCCGCCGACGAGCGCCGCGCCGCCCGCGCGCGTCGTCGACGTCGCTTCCGGCCACGGCCTCCTGGGCTGGTTCCTCCTCGCGCTCTGCGCGGCGTCGCGGCGACCAAACGTCTTCGCCGTCGACCGGCGCATGCCCGACTCGGCGGCGGCGCTCCGCGACAGCTTCGGCGAAGCGTTCCCGGCGCTGCCCGCGCGGCACCGCTACGTCGTCGCGGACGCGGCGGACGTCGACGCGCGCGGCGGCGACACGCTCGTGCTCGCGCTCCACGCCTGCGGCGGCCTCTCGGACCTCGTCATCGACGCGGCCGTCGGCGGCGGCGCGAGCCTGTGCCTCGTGCCCTGCTGCCACTCGCTGAAAACGGCGAAGATGGCGCCGGAGCGGCTCGCGGCCGCGCGGCGCGCCGTCGACGGCGGCGCGGGGCTCGACGAGGCGCTCGACGGACAGCGGGTGGCCTACCTCGAGGAACGCGGCATGGTCGTCGACGCGACGAAGCTGCCCGAGGACATCACGCCGAAGAACACGGTCCTCTTCGCGGCGCCCGGCGTCGCGGCGCCGCGCTCCCGGACGACGGCCGTGCCCATCTTCGGCGCGGCGCCGCGCGCGCTCCCGCGGCCGCCGTCCGCGTGGCGGTCCCTAACGTGAGTCTAGGTGGCCCCCTCCGCGGCGCGCCGCAGCGCGCGCCACGCGTCCGGCGGCACGCGGAGCCCGACGGCGGGCGCGACGGCGGCGAACCAGGCGAGGAGGGTGCCGTCGCCGCCGAGCGCGTCGACCTTCTCCGCGGCGCAGCAGCCGTGGAAGAGCACGAAGGCCTCGCCCGTGACCGGGTGGGCCTCGCGCGAGACGACGCCGTCGAAGTCCCCGAGCTCGCGCCTGACCTCGGCCAGCGACAGCGGCGCGCCGTCGGCCCAGGTCGCGCGGAGCCGCAGCTCCGGGGAGCCGTAGGTCGTCGAGAAGAGCACGTGGAACTCCCACTCGACGGTTTCGGCGGCCGGCGCGGGCGCCGCGGCGGCGTCGTCCGCCGAGATGGCGTCGTCCGCCGCGGCGGCGTCGTCCGCCGAGACCGTGGCCGTCGCCGGCCGCGCGGTCCGCGACGGCCGGAAGTGGCGGTCCAGCGCGAGGTAGCCGTCGACGGCGCAGGACAGCGGGTGCGTCTTGTCCAGCGCCACCCAGCGCCAGGCCCAGCGCCAGGCCGTCGCGTCGACGGCGTCCCAGGCGTCGCGCAGCGCGCAAAAGGCTCTGGCGTCGCGCTGCCAGGTCGACGCGGTCGGCACGGTCGCGAACGGCGTTGTCGGCGCGTTCGAGACGGGTGAAACCGGCCACGTTCTCGGCTTGTAGGGGTAGTTCCGAGTGTAAGAGGTCAGGAATTCATGTGGGAGCGTGAGGACGCCGTCTAGCAGATGTGGGACGAGCATCTTGCAATTCTTCGAGGCTTCTTTTGAGATCGTATCGAGTGCCCCCAGCCCGAGGTTGAGGCGATCCATTCCGGCCAAGCAGTCCCAGCCATCAGCGCGCAGATGTGGCACATACGCTCGCACAAGCACATACTTCGTCATGCCCAACGCCGTCTCCATCCCGCGGCTCGCGATAGACAGACTCCTGATGCTGCGCACGTCCAAGCTGCTGAAATCGAACTCTGTGCCGCCCTCGGGGGCGCCCAGCGCTTCGACGCATGCGGTGAAGAAGCGCATGACGAGGGCCAGCGCGCAGCGCGCCGACGCTTCGTGGCTGCGCGCGGGCACGCAGCAGAGGCAGAGTGCGCAGGCGAGACTCGAGGCCGGCGCCGCCGAAGCCAGCCGTTCCCTGCAACATGAAGGTGCACTTTCTCTCATAATTTTTTTTGTAGAGCATGGAGAGGTGCAGCCCGCGAAGAAGCTGAAAGGCGACACGCGGAGGCGCGACAGCTCGAGGAGGTAGGAAACATAATGCGCGCCGCGCTGCCCGTGCTCGTCGCGCTGGCGCTCGCATCCGCCATCAATGATGGCGGCTGCACCCCCAAAAAGCAGACGAAGACCGACATCACGCTCGTGACGCAGTGCAGCGCCGACCGATTGTGGGTCGTCACGAAGCTCTGCGAGCGCTGGCACGGCCCGCTGTCGCTGGCCGTCGCGTCGACGCCCGCGGGCGAGCCCGCGGAGCAGCTCGAGGGCCGCGCGCGCGGGTACATGGCGCTCTGCACGGAGCGGCACGTCGCCGTCGTCGCCGCGCCGCCGCGGCCGTACCCGATCAACGCGCTGCGGAACCGGGCCTGGGCCATGGCGACGACGAGCCACGTGCTCCTGTTGGACATCGATTTCTGGCCGAGCGTCGGCGCGCGGCGGCGCGTCGTCGCCGCGCTGCGCGCGCTCCCGGCGTCGGCGGAGCGCCGCGCGCTCGTGCTGCCCGCGCTCGAGCTCACGCTGCAGCATTCGGAGACGAAGAACCCGGCCAAGGTCCTCGAGCAGGCCGAGCTCGAGCGGCAGATCCCGTCGTCGAAGCTCGGGCTCCTGCGGTGCGTCGCGAACGGCGCCGCGGGCGGCACGCCGCTGCGCTGGCGGCCGACGGCGGCGAACCACTGGGAGGACCCGCTCGCGGACGGTCCGCGGCGGCGCCTCGCGGCGAAACGCCACCGCGCGCCGCACCACCGGACCATCGTCAAGCGCGTGCCCTTCGCGCCGACGACGAAGCCGACGACGCCCGCGCCGGCGATCTCGCCGGAGACGTTGAGGAAGCGCGCGTTCCTCAACGCGGTGCCCGAGTTCCTCCGGAACACGGCGCACGAGGCGGAGCCGAGCAACCTGCGCTGCGGCGCGTTCCACCACCACGGCACGACGCGGTTCCTCGACTGGCTCGTCGAGCCCGACGGCGCGGCGCCGCGCCGCCTCGACTGCTTCCTCGGGAACCACTTCGAGCCCTTCGTCGTCGTCAGGCGCTGCGACGAGGCGAATTCGCGCAACGGCAGCGCGCGCGTGCCGCGCTTCGACGAGCGCTTCACGGGCTACGGCAAGAACAAGATCGAGTGGATCTCGAGCCTCCGGGCCGCGGACTACGCGTTCTACACCGTCGGCGGCGCCTTCGCCGTACATGTCCCCCACCTCCAGTCCGCGGCGAAGAAGGAGTGGGACCGCGGCTTCAAGAAGAAGAACGCGACGCACCGCGCCGCGGGGACCCTGGGGCACAAGGGCTTCGTCGACGACCTGTTCCGGAAGCACCTCCGGGGGCTCGGGCTCTACAACAAGGACGACCACGGCCACTGGTTCCGAAGAGAGGGAGACGCGCTGCGGGCGAACGCGGCCAACGGCGACGTGCTGCGCGAGGACGCCATCGCGACGCCGCTCTGCGCCTCGTCGAAGGCGACGGTGGACTTCCTCGAGGACCTGGACATGCGCCGCTTCGCCGAGGTCGCGAAATCCTGCGTGCTGGACGCCGCGACGTGCGACGCGAACGCCTTCGTGGTGGAGACGCGCGACAAGTGGCGGCGCGCCGTCGCCGCCCTGCGGCGCGCGCCCTTCGTCGACCGCGTGAGCGCCGCGGTCGCGTCCGACAAGCGCGCGGCGCCGCCGAAAGAGCCCGCGGCGCCGCCGGCAAAGCCCGCGGCGCCGCTGGTAATATGATACAAAAAAGGCTTAGTCGTCGGCGGAGAACAGGATCGCCAGGGAGAGGACCATGTAGACGACGTAGAGGCTCAGGGAGAGGAAGCCGAACTGGCGCGGGATGGAGCCGCGCGTCGCGACGCCCGTGGCGACGACGAGCGCCGTGTTCAGCAGGATCATGGCGAAGCCGACCTTGAGCCCCGCGTCGAGGCGCACGTCGATGAGCCCGCCCTCGGCCTCCTTGAGCCGCGTCGCGAAGCCCACGCCGAGGCCCACGAGCATGTTGAACACGGGCCCCGCGAAGCACGCGGTCAGCGCCATGTTCGCGAGGCCCTTCTTCGCCATGGCCAGGTTCGTCGACAGGTCGCCGACGGAGTTGCCCCAGGCGAGCACCGTCAGGCCGAGCACGGGGTCCGGCACGCCCAGGAGCACGCCGAAGAACTCGAGCGTCGTCACGAGCTCGTCGGCGAAGACGTCGATCCACGTCGCCGCGACGAAGAAGCCGCAGAGCGCGAGCACCGCCGCGGGCGCCGGGGGTAAGGTGCTGCGCCCCGCCGTCAGCTTCGCCGCCGCGGCGGCCGCGGCCGCGCCGAGCACCGTCGCGAGGAAGAACGTCGACGGCGGGAAGACGCGCGCCGCGAACACATCCTCCGCGCCGCGGCGGCTGGCGTAGACGCAGAGCCAGAGCGGCGCGCCGAGCAGGGACAGGGCCAGGGGCGCGCGGCCGTAGGCGTCCGACGCCGTCAGCGGCACGGACGCGCGCCGCGCGGCCGTGAACGGCAGCTCGAGCAACGCCGCGAGCTTCCCCGGGCCGTTGGGCAGCGCCCACAGCTCCTCGACGTGGCCCCGCGCGCGGTCCACGAGGTCGAGCACGAGCACACCGCGCAGCTCCTCGCTCCGCGCCTCCGCGTCCTCTCCTAGTAATGCCGCTCCGAACGCGTCGTCGAGCGGGCTCGCGCCGAGCTCGAGCGCGTCGCCGCCGCCGTCGATGACCACGGGGTCCGACGCCCCGCGGCTCCGGCCCAGGGGCGACGCGAGGTCCGGGTCGTCGTGGAAGGGGTTGCGCGTCGGCGTCGACGGCGACTTCTCCTCGTCGCCGTCGCCGTCCGCGGCCCGGGCGGGGCCGTGGCGCCGCACGTCGTGGAGGAGCGTGAGCAGGATCTCCACGGCCGGCGGCTCCTCGGACGCGCGGCGCTCCTCGAGGAGGCGCTCGTAGGGGCCCCCGGGCCGCCGGTGCCAGAGGTCCGCCGCGAGGACGATCGCGACGAAGGCCCCGTAGCCGCCCAGAAGCAGCGCCACGGTGCCCGCGGTCACGCGCTGGCGCACGCCGACGACGTAGCCGACGACGGCCGCCGTGATGAGGTACGCCGACACGTCCCGGAGCAGCGCGCCCTTGGCCTTGGCGCCGTCGGCGACGACCATGACCGCGCCGGCGACGCACGTGCCGACGAACATGCCCGCGCCCGTGAGCGCCCCGAGCGCGAGCCGGTAGCCGTCGGGCGAGCCCGCGACGGCGTGGATCGTCGACGACACGTCGGGCGCGCCGTTGCCCAGGGCCAGCAGCGTCACGCCCGCGAAGCGCGGCGGCAGGCCCGCGTCGGCGCTGAGCTGCTCGAGCGCGGGCGAGAAGTACTCGTCGGCCGTGGACCCCAGGAGCGCGAAGAGCAGGGCGAGCCAGCCCACGAAGGCGACGATCGCGACGCCCCGGGTCAAACCCGACGTCGCGCAGTAGTAGGTCGCGGCGTAGTGGTTCCCGCAGTCCTCGGACTTGGCCACGGCGCACTGGTCCCGGGGCGTCGGGGCGCGCCGCGCGTCGGCGCAGGACGTGATGTTGTCGTAGTTGAAGGTCGACGCCGACGCGGACCAGGCGAGGGCCGCCCCGAGCAGCAGAAAGGTTCGTCGCGCCATGCTCGGCTTGGGCCTGGCTGTGGAGATGCTGTGGCAACAAAGAGCTTGTTGCGCCGCCATTTCCGTCGACGTCTGCCAAGCGCCACACACACCACTCGACGCGTCGACGATGCTCGCTCGATTCGCGCGCACCGCTGCGCGGCCCGCGCTGTGGCGCACGTCGCGCGCCGCGCTGAGCTATCCGGCGCACGAGGTCGTCGGCCTGCCGGCGCTGTCGCCGACGATGGAAATGGGCACCATCGCGGCCTGGAAGGTCGACGAGGGCGGCGCCTTCGGCGCCGGCGACGTCATCGCGGAGATCGAGACGGATAAGGCGACGGTGGACTTCGAGGCGCAGGACGACGGCGTGCTCGCCAAGATCCTCGTGCAGGCGGGCACGGAGGTCGCCGTCGGCGCGCCGGTCATGGTCGTCGTCGAGGAGGAGGGCGACGCGGCCGCCTTCGGCGACTTCGTCGCGCCGGCCGCCGCGGCCGCGCCGGCGCCCGCCGCGGCGGAGCCCGCGCCGGCGCCCGCGCCCGTCGCCGCGGCGGAGCCCGCGCCGGCGCCCGTCGCCGCCGCGCCCGTCGCCGCGCCCGCGCCCGCCGCGCCGGAGCCCGCGCCGGCGCCCGCCGCCGTCGCCGCGGCCGGCGAAGTCCTCGTATTCGTGCGCGCCGACGCCGACGCGCCCCTCATCAAGGGCCCGCTCGCGGCGATCTTCGAGAAGCAGAAGGAGGAGTACCACGCCAAGTACGGCGCGACGGGCTTCTAGAGGCCGGCCGGCAAGTAAAGCGCCCAGCTTAGCCTTCCCCCTTCTTTTCTCTCCCCCCCCCACCTGCCAGCACGAAAAACTGCCACATGTTTTTTCGTTCGGCCGTGTCCGGCGGCGGCTTCGCACAGCAAGTCGCACAGCGTCGCGAGCTCGACGCGGACGCGGCGCGGGGAGTCGACGCGGACGCGCGTGGCCCGCGACCTCGACCTCGACATTTCTACTCCGGCGTCGACGGCGATGCGACACGGTTTAATCGAGCGATAGAAAGAACGCGAAGCCCTCCTACTAGTCGCGCTTCTTGTCCGCGGGAGCGGCGTCGGCGATCTTGGCGAGGTTCGACCGGTGTAATTCGGCCGGGTCCGACGGCACTAGTGGACGGTGGCGTACTTGGGGAGGGCTCCGCAAAGAGTAGCGGTGCTGTCGTGGTTGCGACAGCTAACGCCGGCGAGCCGGCGACGGCGACGGAGACACGGACGGGCTCGGGCTCGGGCTCGGGCTCGGGCTCGGGCTCGGGCTCGGCGACGGCGACCCCCCAGCCGGCGACGGCGACGGCGCATCTCTTAACTTCAACAACTTTACAGGCGCCAACGTTGCAGCGGGCGACAAGGCGTGAGCCATGGAGAGCCGGACGCTGCGGTCGCACCGCGTCGTGGGCGCCATCGCCGACGACGCCCCGACCTGCGTGTCCTTCTACGACCTCGGCGGCGTGGGCTTTGTGTGCGCGCGCGTCGCCGGCGACGCCTTCCAGGTGCTCAAGCTCGACAGCCTCGCGGTGCAGTTGACGTCGCCGCGGCTCGGGCGGCCCATCGCGTGCCTCGCGAGCCTCGGCGAGTGGACCTACTGCGGCGTCGGCGACGAGCTCTGGTGCTTCGAGCGCGCGGCGTTCCGCGGCGTCGCGGGCGCGGGCGCGGGCCCGCTCCGGCGCCTCGACGTCGCGGGCCCGCTCGTCGTCGCCGCCGCGGACGCCGGCGGCGCGACGGAGCTGAGCTGCTGGGCGCGGCCCGCCGGCGCGAAGCGGTCCGCGCTGCCCGTCGACGCCGCGCGCTTCGAGCTCGGCGCCGGCTTCATAATGACGGCCGCGTGCCACCCGCCGACGTACGTCAACAAGATCGTCGTCGGGAGTAGTGATGGCGCTCTCGAGCTGTGGAACCTGCGCTCCGGCAAGCGGGTGCACCGCTACGCCTACGCGGGCGGCGGCGGCGGCGTCGCGGCGATCGCGGCGTCGGGCGCGCTCGACGTCGTCGCCGTCGCGCGGACGACGGGCGTCGCGGAGCTCGTCGACGCGAAGCGCGACGTCTTACTGTTCGCCCTGGACCACGGCGCGCCGTTGGCCTGCCTCTGCTTCTGCCGGTCGGCGCCCGAGGGCGGCGAGGGCTCGCCGCGGCTCGCGACGGGCGGCGCCGACGGAGACATACGGGTCTGGGACCTCGAGGCCCGCGCGCTGGTCGAGGCCATCGCGGCGCCCCACGGCGGCAAGGCCATCGTCGCTCTGAGTGCCGGCGGCGTCGGCGGCGCGGGCGTCAAGGGCGGCGGCGCCGTCGGCCCGCGCGCGGCGCTCTTCACGGCGGTCGGCGGGGACAACGCGGCGCGGCAGTGGGCTTTGGACGGCCCCGGCGGCGGGCCGCGGCTCGTGCGGAGCCGCGCGGGCCACGGCGCGGCGCCGAGTCTCGCGAAGTGGTACGGCCCGCCCGCGTGCGGCGGCGCGGCCGCGGGCGGCGCGGGCGACGCCTACGGCGCGCTCCAACTGCTGTCGGCGTCGCGCGGCGACCGGTCCCTGCGGTGCCTCCACGCGGCGCGCGACGCGCTCTGCGGCGAGCTGAGCCAGGGCCGGGGCGTCGAGGGGCGCGCGAAGCGCATGCGCCTCGACGACCCGGGCGCGCTCAAGCTGCCGCCCGTCGTCGCGCTGGCCGCGTCGGGCGCCAAGGACGGCGCCTACGCGAACGTCGTCACCTGCCACGCCGGCGAGCGCGTCGCGCGGCTCTGGCACCTCGCGGACCGGCGCCTCGCCGACGTCTGCCTCACGCAGCCCCAGTGGGGCGGGCGGGGCACGGACGACCCGTCGCGCGCGGCGGGCGGCCGCGACGAGGCCGCGACGGCCTGCGAGCTGAGCCAGTGCGGCAACTTCGCGCTCGTGGGCCACGCCGACGGCTACGTGCGCAAGTACAACGTCCAGAGCGGCGACGCGCGCGGCACGTTCCCCGCGTCGCTCGCGGCCGCGGCCGCGGCGGCCGCGGGCGCGGCGTCCGTCGCCGTGCCCGGCGCCGTGGGCCGCGCGGCGCGGGCCATCGACCGCGCGAACCGCAAGGGCGAGCGGAGCGACGGTGCGACGACCAAGGTCAGGCGCACGGACGGCTCCGCGGGCGCGCGGCACCACGGCCGCGGCGACGGCCGCAAGCTCCGGCACCGGGGCGCCGTCGCCGGCGTCCACGCCGACGCGGCCAACGCCTTTGTGGTGTCCGGCGGCGCCGACGGCCAGCTCAAGTGGTGGGACTTTGCCTCCCACGAGGCGCTGGGCAAGCTCGAGCTCGGCGGCGCCGTCGCCGCGCTCGCGCCGGCGCGGTCCGCGCGGCTCCTCGCCGTCGCCGACGACCGCGGCGACGTCCTCGTGCTCGACGCGCGCCCCCCGGGCGACGGCGGCGGGCGCGTCCTGCGGCGCTTCGCCACGGGCCCGCCGCGCGCGCCGCGCGATCTGTGCTGGGGGCCCGGCGCGTCGTCCGTCTTCGCCGTCGACGGCGGCGGCGCGCTGCTGCGCTACGACGTCGCGTCGGGCGCCTGCGTCGACCGCCTCGCCTTCCCCGAGGCCGAGGCCACGTCCGTGAGCGCGTCGCCGACCGGCGAGTTCGTCGCGACGACGCACGTCGGCGTCCGGGGGGTCGCGCTCTGGACCGACACCGCGGCCTACGCGCGCGTCGACGCCGTCGCGCTCGACGTCCTCGACGGCGACGCGCCGCCGCTGGAGGCCCTGGCGCCCGACGATTTGTTGGGTACGGCGCGGCGCGCGGCGCCGGCGCCGGGGTCCATCGCGCTCGGCGCGGCGGCCGACGCGGGCGCGGGCGACGCGGCGCCGCTCGCGCCCGCGGTGGCCCGCGACAACGCGGCGCGCGGGGTCCTGGAGCTCTCGGGCCTGCCGCGGGCGCGCGCGGAGACGCTCCACGCGCTCGAGGCCGTCGCCGCGCGGAACAGGCCGACGGCGCCCCCCAAAAAGCCGGAACGCGCGCCGTTCTTCCTACCCTCGGCCGCGGACGCGGGCCGGGCCGACGCCGCGATGCCCCCGAAGGCGCTGGCGCTGCCCGAGGCGCCGCCGGAGATCGACGCGTTCGACGAGGACGAGGAGGAGGAGGAGGAGGAGGCCGCGGCGCCGGGGGCGGCCGACGAGGCGGACCGGTGCCGCCTCGCGGCGCTCTCGCTGGACGCGGACGCCGCGGCCGTCGTCGCGCACCTCAACGGCCTCCACGCGTCGGGCGTCGACGCGGAGATCGCCCTGCTCTGCCGCGGCGGCCACGACGAAGCGGGGCTCGCGCTGCTCGAGGCGTTCGCGAAAGTCCTCGCGGCCGCGCTCGCGGGCCACGCGAACTTCGACGCGCTCCAGGCCTACGTCCACCGCCTCCTCCAGCACCACGCGGCGCCCCTGTCCCTGCCCCGGCTCAAGCCCGCGGTGGCGAAGCTCGCGGCGGCGCAGCGGGCGGCCGCGGCGCGGTTCCGCGCGCTCGTCCACGAGAACCTGTGCCTCCTCGACCACGCGTCCGCGAACCCGTAAATAGCCCCGGGCACGCATCAATTTCAGGGCCGGCCGTCGGCGTGCGGGTGCATGTACGCGTCGGTGTGGTACTCGGGCAGCGCGGGCTCGAGGTGGATGCGCACGGTGCGCTCGAACGCCGCGGGCTTCGGCGGGACGAAGGCCGCGCGGCTCGTCGTCGTCGCCGTGAAGGGCGTCGTCGGCGCGGCCTTCTGCGGCGGCCGGCGGAGCGCGCGCTGCTCCACGGGGTGGGCGACGAAGGCCTCGCGGGACGTCGTCGTGCCGACGAACGGCGTCGGCTTCGGCGTCGCGGGCTGCGGCGGCTTCGCGAGGAGCGGCGCCGGCGGGTGCGCCACGTAGGCGGCCCGCGAGGTCGTCGTCGCCACGAAGGGCGTCGTCCGCGGCGGCGGCGGCGCGTCGCGCGGCGGCCGCTTCTGGAGGGGCCACTCGACGTACTTCTCGTCGTACTCGCTCTCGCCCGCGAAGGGCGTGCCCGGCCCGCCCGCGGGCGGGCCGTGGCCGGCGAGGAAGGTCGCGAGGCTCCGGCCCGCGGGCTTCTCCGGGTCGCCGCCCCGGCGCGGCGGCGGCGGCGCGGCGAAGGCGCCGCGCGACGTCGACACGAAGTCGCGCGTCTCGGGCGCGTCCGCGCGCCGCGGCGGCTTGGGCGGCGACCGCGGCTCGATGGGGTGGGCGACGAAGGCGCTGCGGGCCGTCGTCGTCGCCGTGAACGGCGGGCTCGCGGCCGGCGGCGGCGGCGGCGCCCGGAGCGCGGGCGCGGCCGCCGGGTGCGCGACGAAGGCCGCGCGGCTGGTCGTCGTCGCGACGAAGGGCACGCGCTCCCGCGGCGCGTGCTTGACCATCTTGCCCAGGGGCCGGCTGCGGAACTCGGGCGGCGGCGCGACGTAGTCGGACCGCGCGACGGACTGCATGAGCGGGCCGATGTCCCACGCGGTGCCGTGCGCGTCCGTCACGACGATGACGTCCTCGTCCTCGATGAGCCCGAAGTTCGACGGGTTGGACACGATCTCGCCGTTGATGTACATGGTGATGGGGTCGGCCATGCGCAGCTTGTTGACGCAGAGGTCGTGGAGCACCTGCTGGTTCGCCGGCATGCTCACCGTGACGCGCTGGCTGTGGTCGCCCTCGACGACGGGGACGCCCGTGAAGGGCGCCCGCTGGTGCACGTTGGCGTTGTACTGGACCATGGTTGATTGGTCGCTGTGCGTCTCACGAGCTCATACAATTGTAACGTGTGGCAGCCTTTCAGCGCTCGCTGTTACGGCTCAAGTTGCCGCTCGTAAAAAAGCTGTGAGGAGTCTGGGCCACCCGAGCGGGGCAGCCATGGACTCGGCCGTGGCGTCCATGGAGACCAAGGGCGTGAAGCTCCTGACGAACTACGCGCTGTCGCTCGTCGTCTCCGGCCACAGCGGCGTGCGCGCCTTCCTGCCGACCTTCATCATGTCGCTCGTCGCCTGCGTCGCCCCGGACTACGTCTCCCTGTCCAAGTCGATGCGGTGGCTCGCGCACCCGGCGGCCGTGGCGGGCACGGGCCTGCTGGCCGTCGGCGAGATGGTCGCGTCCATGGTGCCCGTCATCGAGACGATCTTCGAGGCCGCGATGACGTTCGTCCACCCCGTCATGGGCCTCGTCAACGCGATCGGGCCGGACCTCGGCGACGCGGCGACGGCCTACACGCAGGGGCCCATGGCGATTCTGGGCGGGTCCCAGGCGCTGCTCCTGCACCTCGCGAAGCTGGCGATCCGGGCCGCGGGCCTGGGCTTCCTCGGCCCGTTTATCGCGGTGATCGAGAACGTGGGCGTCGGCGTGCTCGTGCCGCTCGCCGTGCTCTTCGGCTTCTTCGCCTGCTTTCTCGCCTTCTGCGTGCTGGCCTCCGTCGCGCGGTGGCTCGTGCGGACGTGCAAGGAGGGCGCCAAGTTCGCGTCGGGCGATCTGGAAGCGAAGCAGGCCGCGCGGTGGCGGAAGACGGTCAACGCCTGCAAGCGCGGCCACTCCGTGCTCTCGATCTACTACATCAAGGAGGCCGACGGCTTCAAGCGCGCGCCGCGGGCCGGCCTGCTGCTCGCGACGCTCCTCTTCCAGCTCTACCTCGTCGCGTGGTTCCTGCGGTCGCCCGCGGAGCCCATCTTCCAGAACATCGGCGTCGCTTTGTTCCTCGTGCCCTTCCGCGCCGCCGCGACCTGCGTCGTGCGCCGCGCGGCGACCTACGACCCCAAGGCCTGGCCCCTGGGCCCCGCCGCGGGCCTGTCGCTCGCCGTCGTCGTCGCCGGCGCGGCGTCGCTCTGCGACGAGGAGCTCGGCAAAGGCGGCGTCGACGGCAGCCTCGTCCTCATCAACTTCCTCTCGGCCCTGATCCTGAGCCTCTGCGTCTTCGAGCCCGCCCAGCTCGTCCTGGCCCACGACTGCTGCGCCAAGTGCTGCCCGTGCCTCGCGCCGTGCTGCTCGGACGACGCGGACATCCCGGGCGACGCTGAGGCGCCGCCGCCGACGCCGGCGCCGGTCCACATGCCCATCCCGAGCCGGGGCGAGGCCAAGGTGCCCGACGACGGCGGCGCGCCCCAGGCGTGCGAGGACCACGACGAGCCGCCGTCGTCGGAGCCGTCGCCCGTCGACGGCCGGAAGCCCGGCGGCACCCTTTTTGAGACCCTCGTCTGCTGCGCGCCGTAACGATTATCGCGAGGGGTTCAGGTTCGGGAGGGACGCCGACGTCTGCATCATGAGGGGGTCCTGCTCGTCCTGCGAGTCGAGGGACCGCTGGGCCTCGATGACGTTGGGCGTCATGCGCATCTGGATCTCCTCGGAGAGCTGGCCCTTGGGCATGCGGAAGCCGCCGCGCATGACGGCCTTGGGCCGCCCGCCCGTGCCCGCCTCCTGGAGGCGCTGCTTGTTGATCTCCTGGTTCCGCAGCTGCTTCTGGTAGTGCGGGCTCCGCCGCTCGGACGTCGCGGGCCGCGTGCCGTGGAAGCCGAGCTCCGTCGGCGGGTTCGTGTAGGCCGCGGAAGACTCGGGCCGGCTGAGGCCCTCGATGATGGGCGTGTCCTGGAGCTTGCCGATGTCCTTGTAGGGGTTCTTCCGGTTGTAGAGCGGCCGGTCGCACGTGACGCACTTGGGCACGTCGAGGCGGCGCGCGAGGAGCCGCGAGTTGCCGACGACCGTGACCTGGTCGAACTTGGACAGGGCCATCTCGATGGCGACCTGGATCTTGCGGATGGTCATCGCGCGCGCGTCCTGGCGGATCGAGCCCGCGTCCGGGTAGCGGCGCGTGATCTCCTCGCTGACGAGCTCCATGAAGTTCTGGAAGATGCGCTGGCGCCGCGTCTCGATGGTCGAGTCGCTGTAGGGGTGGTCCTCGGGCGCGCCGTGGATCGTCTGCTCGATGGCCCAGACGTCGGCCTTCTGCGCGATGTAGTCGGCCATCTCCTGGGTCACGAGCGAGATCGTGCGGCACATGTCGCGGGGCAGCTCCTTGGCGGGCTTGCCCTTCTCGTGGCTCTGCTGCTCGAAGCGGATGGAGATCTTCGCGAGCGCGGACGCCTGGTTCCGGAGGTGCTGCTTCTGGTCCTCGGCGGACAGGTGGATGGGGCTGTTGTGACTGTGCTTGATCTTCGACGACATCTCGTGCTCCATGGAGTTGAAGAGGTCCTTCATCTGGTCCCGGAGCTTGCCGATCTCGGAGCCGAGCTGGGCCTCCTGGTGCTGGAAGCGGCGCTCCGCGTCCGTCTTGAGCACGTCGACGGCCTTGGAGATGACGCCGTGGTTCTGGCCGACGGTCGACTCGACGCCGCGCATGTGCTCCTGGTCGCGCGACACCGTGTGCTTCGTCGCGGCGAGGTCGGCCTCGAGGCCGCCGATGGCCAGCGTGTTCTGCTTGCCGTTGCCCGAGAGGTCCGCGAGCTCGATGGTCGTCTTTTCTTCCACTTCCGTCATGTGGTCCGTCGTCTTCTCGTTCCACTCGTCCTGGGACGTCTTGTGCTCCTCGACCTGGTTCTTGAGCGCGGCGATGATCATGTCCTGCTCGTTGAGCTTGGGCGGGATGACGTGGTAGACCTCCTGCTCGGCCTTGGCGAGCTTGGAGGCCGTCGTGTCCATCTGCGTCTGGTGCTCCGTGAGCGCGTTCTGCACGGCCTCGTCCTTCATCTTCACTTCTTCCTTGAAGGCGTCCAAACCCGTCGTGATGTCCGCGAGGTCCGACGTCTTGATCGCCTCGAGGTCCGCCTCGAGCTGGCTCGTGCGCTTCTCGGTTTCCTTGAGCTTGGCGTTGTTGGCCATGGACCGCTTCTGGGCCTGGTCGAGGGTGACCTCGATGCCGTCGACGCGGCTCTCGAGCTCGTTGGCCTCCTCCTTGAGCTGCTTGAACTGGTTCGTGTTGCCGTCGATGAGCGACTTGAGGAACGTGACGTCGCCCTGGATCTGCGACACCGTGCCCTCGTTCTTCGACCGGTTGTCGCCGATGAGGCCCATGAGCTCGGCCTCGCGGTGCGCCATGCTGTCCTGGTTCTTTTCGAGGGATTGCGCGAGCGCCTGGATCTCCTTGAGCTTGTCGTTCTGGCCCTTGACCTGGGCAGCACAGGAGTGATTCAACGTCGCTTCAACGTGAGTGTTCCGCGCGCAAGCGTTACGGAAAAAAAAACATCCACGCGTCGAGACCGTTCCGAGAGATGATCGCTCGTCCAAAAATCAGCCGAAACGAGTGGAAAACGGCCGAGATATGAGCCTTTGAAGTTGGGAATGTCGCTCTCTTGTGCCGCCCTGCCCTCGACCTCCTCGCGGACCTCCGCGAGCTGGCCCTCGAAGGTCGTCTGGTTGTCGCTGATGCGCGCGTCGAGCACGCCGGACTGCTTCTGGTTGTCGTCCCGCAAAAACTCCAGCTCCTCCTGGAGCACGCGGATCTGCTCCTTCATCGTCTCCATCTCCTCCGTGTTCTTCACCTCCTTCTCGATGACCGTGTTCTCGATGCGCATGCTCTCGCTCGAGCTCTCTAACCGAATGTCGCGCTCGATGGACGTGAGCTTCTCGTTGAGGAAGGTCTTTAGAGCTTTCAATTTGCCGCCGTACATGTCCTTAAGGGCCGTGAGCTCGCCGACGGACGGCGCGATCTCGACCGTCTTCCGCATGCGCTCGAGGTCGATGCTGAAGGTCACGAGCTGCGCCTTGACGTCCAACTTCGCGACCTCGTCCGTGCGCGTCACGGACTCGTGGAGCGCCATGAGGCGCTTCTCCATCTCCGGGTACGCGACGCACTCGAGCATGAGGCGTTTTTCTAATTCTTCCAGGTCCGCGGTCGTCGCGCGGCGCGGCCCCGCGTCGTCGCCGTCGCTCGACTCATTATCACCAAAGTCGCCGTCGGGGAAGGCCGGCGCCGGCGCCGCGGCGACCGCGCCCGCGCGCGCCGTCGCCGCGGCCCGCCTCGCGTAGTCCTTCAACTCCGCCTCCTGGGCCTTGACCGTGCCCCGCAGCGACGTCACCTCGCCCTCGAGGGCGCCGAGCTTCGCCTGGAGGTGCTCGAGCCAGGGCGGCGACACGACGAGGCGATCGTGCTGCGCCATCTTCTCCCCGAGCTCGCCCATGAACTGGTGGAGCTCGCTCGTGTCCATGTGGACGAGGCCCGTCGGGCCCCCGTCGAAGCCCAGCGTCTTCTTCATGGACGCCTGGAGCCGGTCCAGGCTCTGGTCCTGGGCCAGCGTGTCCTCGTCGCGGACGCTCATGTCCTGCGCCTTGGGCGCCGCCATGTTGGGCTCCTTCGACAACGCGGCTGCAGTTTATATCCTATCGAGCTAAACGTGCAGTGTGACGTTGATCTTTGTTAGGCGCTTTCGGTCCGCGCTCTTGGCGCGCGGGCCGCGGGGTGGGGGGACGCCTACTCGTCGTCGTCCTCGTCGTCCTCCTCCTCGAAGTCGTCCTCGTCCTCCTCGTCCTCCTCGTCCTCCTCCTCTTCCTCGTCCTCCTCGTCCTCCTCCTCTTCGTCCTCCTCGTCCTCGTCGTCGTCGTCCTCCTCGTCGGCCTCGTCGTCCTCGTCGTCGTCCTCGGCCTCCTCGGCGCCGCCGCCCTTGGCGAGGGCCGCCTCGAGGGCCGCGTCGTCGACGTCGCCCGCGGACAGGTCCGCGGAGACGCGGAGGTCGAAGAAGCGGAGCGTCTTCAGCGCGGCCTTGGCGGCCTTCTTGACCTTGGGTCGGAGCGCCGCGTACTTGGCCGCGGCGTCGCGCGCGCCGGCGGCCGTCGCGTCGTCGCCGTCGCCCGCGGCCGCGGCGAGGAGCGGGCCGAGCGCGGCGCCCGCGGCGCCCCAGGCCTCGACGAGGTCCGCGACGACGAGCTCGAGGCAGGAGACGACGACGAGGTGGGCGCGGCGCGGGTCGCCGTCGTCGAGGGCGACGGCGACGAACTGGAGCGCGTGGTCCGCGACGAGGAGCGCGTTCTGCGCGCGCTTGAGGAGCGCGGCGTCGGCGTCGGCGTCGCAGGCCTCCGGCGCCGCGGCCTTCTTCTTCTTCGACGGCGGGCTCACGTCCTCGAACTTGCCCGCGAAGAGCAGCGCCCGCCGGAGCACGAAGCCCGCGTACGCGTCGACGAGCGCCGCGCGGCCGCCGGCGTCGTCGGCGTCCCGGAGCGCGACGAGCTCGCGGCGCGAGAAGTACTTCTTGCCGCTCTTGGGGTCGGCGTCGCCGACCATGGACTTGAGCGTGCGGCTCAGGGCCCGCGCGTTCTTCGTCGGCGTCGACCGGCTCAGCGCGTGGAGCAGGTAGAGCGCCTTCGTCGTCGTCCGCCAGTCCTTCTCGACCATCTTCTTCCAGAGCTTGCGCAGGGTCACGCGGTAGGGGTCGTCGTCGGGCAGCGCGTGGGGCCGCGCGGGGAAGCGCGCGACGGACTCGACGAGCCGCTTCGCGAGCTGCGGCGACACGCGCTGGTCGCTCGGCCACGTCGCCGTGAGCAAAAACTTCTCGTACTCGCTGCTGTAGTAGGCCTTGGCCAGGCGGCTCGCCTCGTGGCCCTTGACGGCGGCCTCCGCCGCGAGGACCTTGGCCCGCGACGCCGCCGTCTTCGTCGTCTCGAGCGCCTTCTTCGACGCCTCGGCCGCCATGCGCTGCGCGCGCTGCAGCATCGTCGGGCCCTGCGGCTTGCGCCGCGGCCGGTAGTAGTCGACCTGGCGGCTCTCGCGGCCGTAGCCGTCGAAGTCGTCGTCGTCGTCCTCGCCGAAGTCGTCGTCGTCGTCGTAGCGCGGGCGCCGGCGGCGCTTGCTGGAGCTCGAGCGCTTCCGCTTCTTGTGCATGGCCGAGTTGCGCTTCAGGGACGCCTTCTTGCCCTTGCCCTCGACCTCCACGAGGGCCAGGAGGCCGCACGCCACGAGGGCGCAGAGGATGCCGGACCGCCCGAGCATCGGTCGGTGCGCGAGTCCACTGTTGTCGACGGCGGCGTGGGCGGCGATCGCACCGCGCTTCAACACGCGGTCCGATCGAGGTGCTCTCCCCCTCGTCCGAGGCGCATGGGCGGCCTCTCCACGCCGTGACAGCGGGATTAGCTGACCTGAGACCCCGCAGAACCGCGTCACAAACGCACCACACCAGATGAAGATCATCCACTCGAACCGGGGCAACGTGACGAACGTCGAGGCGCTCGAGATGCTGCGGGAGCGCGCCGCGCGGCGCGACGGCGAGCGCGACCGCAAGAAGCCCAAGTTCGGCGGGTCGGGCAAGCGGTCGCGCGAGGTCGACGGCGCCACGAAGGCCGCCGTCGAGTACCTCGAGAAGACGGTCGCCGGGTCGCAGACCGTCGACCAGGTCGCGTCGTGCGTCGGGTTCATGCGGGGCGCGGGCGACGGCCAGGCGCGGGACCTCGGCCTGAACCCGCGGGACATCCTGCAGATCGTCAACCTCGCGCCGACGGTGCCCGTCGTCGTCTACGCCATCGTCGAGGACTGCGAGGAGAAGCTCACGGAGGCGGACGTCGACGAGGTCATCGCGCTCTCCGGCGGCATGCTCGGCGGCAAGCAGGGCGCCGCGCCGCCGGACGCGACGTGACTAAGAGTGCGCACTGTCCTTCGCGTAGTCTTGAGCCCGGAGCCTGGGTTCGAGAACCTTCGAGAGACACGTCTTAGACACGTCCGCGAACATGTTGAATAGGTCGTTGCCGAGATGTTGCCGCTGCGCCTTTGCTTTGTGCCCGCCTGCGCCTTCGACCGCGGCCGAAAACGCCCGGGCCGTCGACGACCTTCGCCGACGACGCGCCGAGCCTCGCGCCGACGGGCTCCTTCGCCGGTTCGAGAGCATGGACGCCCCCATCATCGACCTCTGCAGCGACTCCGACTCGGAGCCGGCCGTCTCGAACAACGCCAACGTGCGCGCCTCCATCGACTTGTGCAGCGACTCCGACGAGGAGCCGCCGGTCGCACAGAAGCGCGCCCCGGCGCCGGCCGCGGATGCGGCGGCGGCGAAGAAGGCCAAACTCGAGCCGCGGCCCCGCGCCGCGGCGCCCGCGCTGCCCGTGGCGCCGCCGCCGCCGCCGCGCATGCGGCCGGCGGCCAACAAGCAGCCGGGCGGCGGCGGCGACGACGAGATCGAGCTCGTCGGCACGACGGGTTCGAACGCGCTGGCCGACTTCCCGCACGCGCGCGAGAACTGCGTGACGTGCCCGTTCCACGCGGACCCGCGGAAGCACTGCGCCAACTGCTACTGCTACGTCTGCGACGCGCCCGCCGCCAAGTGCGGGAGCTGGGACCGCCACTGCGAGGCGACGGCCGGCGACCCCTACTGGCGGAAGCAGCGCGAGGCCGCGCGGACGGGCGCCGCGCCGCCCGCGGCGGCGGGCGCCGTCGTGCCCAACCCGGCGACGCACACGCTCGACGCGCTCCTCGCGGCGCTGGCCGTCGTCCACCCCGTCGAGGCGCCGCAGCCCGCGGCCGTCGTCACGCCGCTGCGCCACTACCAGAAGCAGGCCCTGGCGCGCATGGTCGAGGTGGAGACGTCGCCGACGGCGCCCCGCGGCGACCACGGCGTCGCCGGCGGCTTCCTCGCGCAGGAGGTGGGCATGGGCAAGTCCCGGTGTCGAGCGGCGATTTTCGAGAGATTTGGGGCGGGAAAACGATGGAACATCGTTACCGGCGCGCTTGGTAGGCAAGACCTGCGCCGTCCTCGCGCTCGTGGCCGCGAACCCGTCCGCCGCCGCGGCGCCGACCGCGGACCAGATCCAGACCATCCGGACGAACCGGTCGAAGCTCGCGCAGCTCAAGGAGCCCGAGTTCGACTTCGACCTCTTCTCAAAGATGGGCGACAAGTACCGGAAGCAACACGGCGACGCCAGAAAGGCATACGACGCCCAAGTCAAAGCGCTCCTGCCGTGGCACAGCGCGGACTTCTACGCCGCGGGCGACTCGAAGGCGCCGCAGCGCCCGAAACTCAAGACGACGGTGGTGTTCACCTCTGTCTCCCTGCTGGGCCAGTGGGAGGACGAGTGCGCGCGGCACGCGCCCGGCCTCGTCGTCCGCCGCTTCCACCCGACCTCGAAGGGCAAAACGGCCAAGTTCCTCGACGAGAGCCAGACCACGGCGAACCCGCCCGACGTCATCATCTCGACGACGACGTTCTCCTGGCCCGACTGGACGAAAGACTACGAATTCCACCGCGTCGTCGTCGACGAGTCGCACCTCTTCGGCACGGCGTCCGCGAAGCGCAACTACGCCGACGCCGTCCCGTCGCTCCGGCGCTGGTGCTGCACGGCGACGCCCATGAGCATGAGCGCGGGCTCGATCAGCACGCAGGCCCTGTTCCTCGGACGCCAGGACCTCCTGATGGCTGCCCATTATTTCGATCTCAAGCGCCCCGGGTCCTTCGCCGCCTTCAAGGACAAGCTCGCGCCGATCTTCATCCGCCACACGAAGGCGCAGCGCATCGGCGGCTCCTGCGCGCTCGCGCTGCCCGCGTCCGTGGCGCGGACGGTCACGCTGACCATGTCCGCCGACGAGCGGGCCCTCTACGACTTCGAGCTTCAGACGGCGAGCGCGTCGAAGCGCACGTCGCTCCTGCGCCTCTCGCGCCACGGCGGCAAGCGCTACGAGCTCGAGCGCTGCCTCGGCAACTTCCTCGTGTCCGCGGCGAACTCCTACTCCGACGCGCACCCGGCGCCGACGCTGCCGCCCTTCCAGCGCATGCACGTCGCGACGAAGCGGCCGGGCAGGCTCGACGCCTGGAATCTCCGGCCCGAGAAGTCGTCGAAGCTCGTCGCCCTGCGCGCGGACCTCGCGAACCTCCGGCGCCGCGACGCGTCGTGCCACGCCGTCGTCTTCACGGCCTACAACCGCCTCCACAAGGCCGCGTGCGCCGCGCTCCGCGACGACGGCTTCGTGGTGTGCGAGTTCACGGGCGGCACGTCGGCCAACGACCGCGACAAGCACATCCGCACGTTCCAGAGCGGCCTCGGCAAGCGGGGCGCGCCGGCGACGGTCTTCGTCATCACGACGCGCAGCGGCAACGTCGGCATCACGCTCACGGCGGCGACGCGCGTCTACCTCATGGAGCCCATGCTCGACCCGGGCACGGAGGTCCAGGCCGCGGGCCGCATCCACCGCCTCGGCCAGACCAAGGACGTCCTCGTCACGCGCTTCTGCTTCAAGAATACCGTCGAGGAGGACATCGTCAAGCTCCACGCGAAGATCGCCGCGGGCGACATCGCCCTCTCCGACTCCCACTTCCCCGCGGCCGGCGTCAAGATCCTCATGCCGCCCTTCGAGGAGAAGAGGAAGGCGTCCTCCACGTCCTCCTCGAAGGGCTGCGCGCAGTCGTAAGCGCGGACTCTTCAGGAAGTTGCAGCTCGTTGAAGTGCTCATTGCCCTGCAACGTTATCTTGAGCTCCGAGCTGTGGAGATCGAGGGAGCGCGTGCAAAGCGTCACAGCCTTCGCCGCGCCGTGCCGCTCAAGGTTGCCGACTGCGCGATGGCCCCAATGTACGTCGCCGCTCTGGCGACGGGCGCCGCGGCGCTCGTCGCGCCGCGCGCCCAGCACCTGCGACCGCGGACGCTCCTCGGCATGAGCAAGGTCGGCGTCTACTACGGCACGCAGGGCCAGGCCACGGAGGCCGCCGCGGACCTGCTCGTCGCGATCGTCAACGAGAAGCTCGGCGGCGCGGCGGGCGAGACGTCCTTCCTCGTCGACGAGTGCGACAGCGTCGAGGACCTGCTGGGCCACGACTGCCTGCTCGTCGGGTGCCCGACGTGGAACACGGGCGCGGACACGGAGCGGTCCGGCACGGACTGGGACGAGTGGTACTACGAGGACGACGGGCTGCCGGGCATCGACCTCGCGGGCAAGAACGTCGCCGTCTTCGGCTGCGGCGACTCCGTGGGCTACGGCGGCAACTTCTGCGACGCCATCGACGAGCTCTACGAGGTCATGGGCTCTCGCGGCGCGGGCGTCGGCTTCGGCCACACGCCGGCGGCGGGCTACCAGCACGAGGGGTCCAAGGCGCTGCGGGGCGACACCTTCATCGGGCTGCCCCTGGACCAGGTCAACGAGGGCGACATGACGGAGCAGCGCCTCCGGGACTGGGTCGACAAGC